TTATAGGTGGATTTCAACATTGGCGACAGCTATCATGATATATGTTAGCCAGATATTAATGGTTAATCATGTCTTTCACTTTATTTTCATATTGGTCACATTTATTAGAAAGATATTTTTTAACTGCGCTTTGAGGCACAAACTACTGTTATCTGATGGTTGTCTCTACAGCCGTGACAGTTGTTCTGAAACAGCAGGAAAAGCTCGGCTTCCCCTTAAAAAAACTGTTAAATGTCAACATTAAACAGTGCAGTGAAATGCAATCAATTCCATGACGAGTTCATTCAGAATCAGCTGTTAATCATTTGTTTGTCTGGTGCGATTTGATCACGTGTTGCCAACAACAATCACAATGCATATTAAACCCTGTTGAAGCTCAGCTCTTATTGTGTTCTACGGGGCAGCGGTGGATGGGGTTTTTTTCTTACAAATGCTGATTGGACAGACTGGATGAATGAGAAACATCATAGAAGCCAGACTTCCACTGAGAGTGGCCGTGCAGTGGGCTGTCGCTGAGGCTGAATGGTGCTTTTGAAAAAGGCACCAGAGATTTCTGTGTCAACAGTGTGCAGAGTTTACTGGCGATGTTTACAGAAAAACTGCATCCTGTTCTGCGGCGTTTACACAGCGATATATAGACCATTTACATTTGAATAAACATTGTAAACAAAAAATGTTCCAGCGTTCAAGCTTTTTCTTTTCTTTCTTTTTTTTACTGTTTGTGTAATTATTATGTTTCCTCATTCAAGTTGTTTGCTCAGAATTAACATTTAAATAAGCGGGGCCTAGAATGAGCCTTCTTCTGGTAAATCATCTTGTAATGGAGTAAAAGGGGAAAAATCCCAGTTTTTACTTCAGCCTTCTTGTTGTGTTCCTTCCGAAACCCCGGGAAACATGGTGGTCCCTCGAAATTCACTTTTAGCCGTAAATTCTCCAAACTAAGCTGCTCTCAGGATGTCACAGACTTAAGCAGGTGTAGATTTTACTGGGTGAGCCTTTTGTTAAGTAGCTGCAATCTGTTTTTCCTTCTGTCCCAGCTGGCAACCATAAGAGCGAGCGAGTACCTCACAGGCAGGTCCACGGAAGCAGCGGCGTTCCCGCTCAGTGCCCTGCATTAGCACTGATGTTTTAATGCTGAGTAAAATTTACCAAAACCACAAAAAAAAAACACTCCTTTCGACGCAGTTTGAAGGCCATTAATTCAACAACATTCACACTTCAGTAAAGACTTTGAACAGAAATGGAGTGACGACATGTCATTACTATTATTCATATTCCAGAGTACTACCATTCACACTTTATGACTGGAAATCTGCAGACAGCTTATTCTTAATTGGCCCATCATGGTCTGATTTCTCTCTGGCCTTGGTTTTATTTGGTTTATATGAGTGTGTCTGTAATAACAGTTTAACGCCGTTCCACGGGGAGATTATCAAACCGCGCTACAGCGATGGACATTATCGCTCAACTACATGCATCACTTCTTCTCCGCTCATTTCTCAGAATGGCTGCCGGGGAGCTCACCAACAGTGCTGCTTTGTGAATAGGGTGTGTGTGTGTGTGTGTTCTCTGTGGTTTTTTTGGACAGCGGGAAGCGCACGCACCCTCGTGTTGAGGGGCGTGTGCACGCATGTAAAACGTGCATTTAGCAAAACGTGGCGGCAACGGAAGAAACATCCGACTCATAACTGAAGTGCCATAAAAGAATCACCATCGTGAATCTGTGTTAGGCTCGGCAGAGAAAACCAGTCATCTCGCCTGGCTGATGAACCGACTACTTTAGCGCCACCAGGGCTGATCACAGTGCTGGGAAAAAAATGACAAAGGAACACACAGAACACATGAAGGGGAGCAATCGTGATGAGAAAATGGACGGGCTGTTCAGCGCTCTCATCTCCATCAAAAAGAAGATCTGGGGATGAAAGTGGCGTTCTGCCTGTGATTCTGCCACACTCGTGTTCTTAACGTCCTGGAGGATGAACTAGATCCTCTCCTCTCTCACACTCCTGCTTCTCACAAGTGCAGCTCATCCTGGCAGTGAGTAAAGACGACCGACTCCTCTTCTAAAAACGCTGAGATTCTTTCTCGTTCAGAAGGAAATGTCATGGAAACACAGCTGATCACAGGTTGAACACGGGTAAACACCTCGACGTGTCGTTTCAGTGCAAAGGCAGGAATCTTCCTTCCAGATGTAGAATCATACAAAATGAATGTTTTCAGTCATTTATACTGGGCTACATGGATACACAGTACAGTCCAGTACATGGTGTGGACTGATACACAGTACAGTCCAGTACATGGTGGTGTGCAGTGGTGGGTAGTAACGAGTTACATTTACTCCATTACATTTTACTTGAGTAAGTTTTTCCTAAATAAAGTACTTCCAGGAGTAATTTTAAATCACTAGAATTTTTACTTTTACTTGAGTAGATTTATGAAGAAGAAACAGTACTCTTACTCCACTACATTAGGTAGTACTCAGTACTCGAGTAGTTATTTCACCAAATACTTACTCTTACTTAAGTAATTATTTGGATGAATACTTTTTACTTCTACTTGAGTAATTATTCTGAAGTAACAGTACTTTTACTTGAGTACAACTTTTAGGTACTCTCCTGCTGTTGCTGCTGTTTTTAAACCGGTGGAAAATTACTAATTTTTTTTAATTAAAAAGAAGTACGTATGTTCTTATCGCACCTGTAGAAAAGACCTCCAGAGAAAATGGTTCATTTCTGTTGCAACAAAAACAACCTTTTCAGGTCAGCCTAAAAAAACAAGTTCCATTTTTTAAAACCCAAAATAATTTAGCCTAAATCGTACTGGCTGCACCTGTGCACCATGGAACTCTTTGTTTAATCTTTGAGTCTGAAAAATAAATAAATAAAACCAACATTGAACTCACAGCAAAACAATACCTTTTTATACTGTGTATAAACAAAGCTGGACCGGTTCGGTGCAGTCAATAAATTTGTACTGCTCTCAATTAACTCACATAACTCACGTTGAGTCTGCTGACTTTATGATGTTGCTCTAATTATGCTGCTGCTGCTGTTGCTGTTGCTGCTGCTGTTGCTGCTGCTGCTGCTGTTGCTGCTGTTGCTGAAAATGTTAGCTTTTACTATCACAGTGGTTACAGCCGCTGTACTGCAGACTTTACACCGGCTCCGTCCAACTTCACTTAAAATGGATTTTGTCATTGAGTCAGCGATGTTCTCCGAAGCGCCCTCCCCTTTCGTTGGTTGCCCCCCCCCAACAAATCTGTCTTCCTGTGTCCCCTGGGGGACAGAACTATGTGCCCCTGAGGGTACCCGCCTCCCATTTTTGGAACCAGTGATTTATATTTATGTTGAACAACTTGTTGTTGGAAATACTAAAAGAACACATCAGCTTTTATAAACTAAATATTACTTTTACTCATTGTAAACATTTGTGCCAACCCTCCCCCCCCCCCCCC